AGCACAAAGAAAGACATAAACCTATTAAAGAGTTCCGAGCTGGCTTCTCGGGCTGCACTAGCTCTCTCCAGATTTACTAGGTGCACAGAAGAAAAGCAGTGCCTACCTGGTACGACAAGAGGCTGCTACACGACCCTCTTCACATCCATCTCTGCAATTCAATAGTAGCATGAGCAGAATGAGCACGTGAGTAAAAATTCACACAAAAGATTGTACTGAAGTATTAGCCACTAAGGATTTTTTTTTTTAACACATAGAAAATAGCATCCCTCTATGTATTACTYCATTTTCAAGTATGAATTATTATGTTAATGTTTATTTTATTTTTTTGCAATGATCCTAAAATTTCAGGGTTGGGTGTACATTTGGCAAAGCTTCTGATAGCCTCTGACATACAGCTCTGTGCTCTACATTGTCCATATYGAGTGGGTGATTTGAATAATATAACATCCTGTGGGGGAAGAGAGTAGAAAGAAAAACTAAGACAACAGCAGAAAAATAGAAAGATTAATTCCCCCATCTTGTGGGCAACTACTGAAATAACAGTTTATAGAACCATTTCATAAGGTGGTGTGAAAATATTGTGGATTAAATTTCAATATTCCTTCATCAGTCACATTTCACAGATTAAATTCTCCTACACCATGAAGTGTCAAACAAAAAGCTTTAAGATTACATTTGGTCTAATAAGATCCGTCAAAGAATTAGAGAATACATCCACTATCTTGATGCTTACCAGCACCAGTAGCCAAATACTTTGTTGATTTGTTTTGCTGAAACCTAAAGAATTTCTTACAAAGCAGAGAAAAGCCTGGTGTTCAAATACAACAAAAAACAGTTTTTTAGGACTTCCCCCATAGCAAGCTTATTGATATTACCCTTCTACTTTAAGCCTTAAAAACAATTCTAACTCTCTCCGATAAGTATAATAGCATGTCACTATAATATATTTATATAGTAATAACTTTTTTTTATTATATGCCTTTTGAAACAGGATGAGATCAAAAGTTGTGTTTCTTATTACAAATTATTGACTTCAAGATAATCCATCCTGCTTTTCCTGATAGTCTGCAATAATCCTAAAGRACGAGTTGTATAAGTCATTCTAGACTCCCTAAAATAATTTTAGCTCAATGTCATAGCTCTTTAGAAGTCAACCATCAACTTATTTCTATCAGGCAAACAGAAAGCACTGTCAGAGGTGGAAAAAAAAGGCAATAAACACAGGAAGAAGCTTTATAAGCACAGTAAAATAACTACTCAATCATAAGCATAATAACTCAATTTCTAAATGAACTAAATTAAGGACAGATTCACTGTTGTACCTATYTAAGTAGAGACTAGGACCTGTAAAACTCATTGACTTACCTACAAAGAAAAGAAGTGCACRTGGTGAATTTACATTGTACTGATGAGATGTTTCAACCCCCTAGAACTAAGCTACACGTGCACTTCCCTATTGTCAGAGTCTCGGCTTTGCACAAGCAGTTTTGAGAATTGCATCTCCTTACTGTGCTCACCTGTAATAATTAGCAGCAACTGCAAAGAATGTGGACGCGCATAACAGGAAACCTGAATTTGACAGCTCAGAACACCGGGAAAGGGGCTTTTCCATTTTCCTGCTGTTGATTCCAGTAAAATTGGGCATTGCTCTCTGCCTTCCTCACTGAAATCCAAACAAAAATTCCTTTTCTTGTTAAAATCAATATAACTACTATTTTCAAGTAGCAGCACTCGTCTTCACAAATAGGCATTTTCCCATTACTGATGTAAAAGACGTTTACAGTGGAATTTCAATACAAACTAGCTTTTATCTGCATTCTTTTTTCCCAAAATATTAATTTAGAGATTTATAACATCTGCATTCACTTTTCTTCTCTATGAACTATCATGACGATATTCTGGTTTTGCCCATAGAAATGAAACCTGAAGACTGAAGAGTAGATTAGGATTGAGATATTGAACATTATTCCTGTAAAATAAAACCTAAAAATACAAAATCATTTTATGGTAGAACAATCCTTGCTGCCCTGTAGGGAAAAGGTGATGATGCAATAAAATAAATCAAAAGTTTTAAACTTGGAATTTCCTTTTTATAAACTCTTCAAGGTTATTTTTCCTCTGACACTTAAGCTTTCCTCCTTCAGCTGCCAGGTAAATAAGATTAACCTGGCATCAGAGCTGCTGAAAAGGATCTTGAAAACTCCAAAATAAGACAAAATCACAGCACCAAGATCGTAGTTGCTGAATTCGGCAGATTTGCATATTCACATCATTACTGATTGATTAGGCAAATCAGACCCACAATCCAGGAAAGGGAACTGCATCAGTCAATGAGCTCTATGCATACACTCAGAACAGAATTTTTACTTTACATTTAGATGTATAACAATTTTCTTCCTCCCCTTCAGCCTTCAGCTAGCCCTTCATTTGCTGGGTGACACCATGTGTTTAACAGACAGCAGCACCCTCCCCACATCTCCTGTTCCACTATGATTATTACCTTTATGCAGRTAATTTTAATAAAGAAACTAAGGCTTTGGTTTTTAAGATGAAGCCCAAAGTTATATGAGGTGTCTCTTAAATCTCTCCACATGTCTTCTTTTGAAGGGGAGTAGTCCACTGACATCTATTTCAAGTAAATTCTTCACACTCAGGTTTGAATAAATATGACTTTTTAAGCTGTTGAAAGAATTATTTTGTCAAATAAATGCTAGGTAGTTTCAAAAGGTATCACAAGTCAGTTTTCACTTTTTAAATTAAGGCTTGGTGACCCAAGATACCCTTTTATAGATAATTCTACTTGTCAAAGATACATGTTAAAATATGCCTAGCATGCTAATCTACTATGACAAAAACATATTTTACTGCAAGTAATGGGATAAAAAAAAATATATAGGCACCTTGATTAAGGTGAATCTCTTCAACTTATCCCCCTCAACTTCACAATTAATCCTCTGTAAGAGATTATTTAACCTCTTACTAATAAATCACTCTATCAGTGTCCATAATAAACCATGCACTTTCCCAAGACTCTGAAAGTGTTGAACAAATTGTTAACCATGATGATGAAAGGCATAAAGTTGTTTCACYTGGAAAGAACCACAAAATCACAAAACAGTTGAGGCTGGAAACAAGTCCTGGAGATGTGCTGATCCAAACCCCCTTCTCACAGCAGCTGGCTAGAGCAGGTTGCCCAGGACATTAAGTATCTKTGATGATGGGGACTCCACAGTCTAAAGGTTTGCAAGTTAAACAAGGGATTTTGATTTGTTTTTTAAAATTTAAGTGAATCTGAAGGAGTTGGCTTACTGTAATTCCATGGGGAAAAGCATCAATCTGTGCCTATCAGGAACATTCTTAATAAACAGTCCTCATAAGAGGAAAAATTCTCAATGAAATCCAACTAAAATCCAATTGAAAATAAATCCTTAAAAAAAAAACACCTCTGAGCTGTTAAAAGTGACCATTTTCAAACAGTCACCAAATGTACCTTCAAATCACAYGATTTGGCCTATAAAGGCTTGACTTTCTAGAGTTAAGAAACACTGAAAATAAAAGGAAAACAATTTCAAGAAAAAAGCACACAAACGTAACCGCCAGTACCATCCTGCGAACGACCATAGCTACCTATCAGTAACATGCTTTACGTCATTTTATTTGATAATCAGTTTGTGCTGCAGTCCTTCAAAGAGGACTCCTAGATTGAGAAAGATCTGTCTCGAAGAAGTGCGTATTTCCCTCTACTTAGTGATAACGGGAGGGCATGGCAGAAAGKGGCAAGGAAGCTGCGGAAAGGAGGCCCCAACTCAAAAGCAGCTGTGAGGAACAAGCAGACAGCCACCCAAGCCTTAGAAAGAGATACTTCTGAAGAGCCAGAGAAGTTTCTAATTCAGGAAGCAACCGACTAAGTAAGACCACGCCCAGTTACAGGTGAAGGAGAGAGAAAGAAAAAACATGTTTCACTTTGTGCTGCGACACCTAGTCCAACCTCAGATGTTTTCTGATGAAGCCTCTGCACCACAAGGCCTCAGTCCCACCTGGCCCAGAAGATCTGGGTAAATACAGTATGAAGACTGGAATCCTGTTAGACCCAAACATCTTCCTTAATTTAAGCAATAAATGGGCCTGAAATGGGCCTCTGTAATGCTTGGTCCAAGCGGTGAAGTAGACCTGTCCCTACTGCTTCAGCTGGAATTTCCAGTGCTGTTTACCAGATCAAGTTCTCATAGCAACCAAAATAGCAACCACATACATCGGGAACTAAAAGCCCTAAGGCTTCTTCAGATTGATTAAATAATTTTTTTCACTGGATTTACTTACATATAAAGGGAGAAAATCTTGTTCACAAGACTCAACCCAGAAAGCTTACAAATAAAAACAGGGAAGAAAAGCCCAGAAGTGAGGCAAGCAAAAGACGGCTCAGAAACTSGGCATCAGACCTGCCTTAAGCTCCAACTCCCCACCTGAAGACAAGACACGAGGCGCCTTCCAGACATCCAGAAAACAGACAGAAATAAAATAATTTGTTTCAACCAGAGTTAAGAGTCACCACACCTAAGAACCACACCTTACACGGGTGCTGAAGGAAAAGGTGGGCTGCAGGTAGCTCCTGTACAGTACAGCAGCACAGCAATTTCCTCAGAATATGCCAGTACCATGTGGCAAACCATACCATATGATAGCACTTTATTTTTGAAAGTGTCATTCCAAAGCATACCACAATAGATGYGTATAAAGATTTATTATCAATACTTTTTTACATGGGGCTTGTAGTACACACACAACCTCAATCAGTTAACGTTTAAGCAGGACTTTCTAGAAAACCGGTGACGGAGTTAAAGGTTGCAGTGCTGTTTTTCCATTTGTAACAAACAATATTAATAACCAAATCTGTGCAACAGCAATAAAATCATGGCTGTAGATTTTCTCTAAATGTTCTGTTTGGCAACATATTTTCAGGTATCATAAGCTTGCTAATTTYGGCGAGGTCATAAGTAAGTATTGGAAGCTCATCCATCAGCCCAATGCTTAGCGTTAGCGTTCGGGTCCAGTTCTCATGATTGCAGCTCTTACTGAATGGATGTACGCAAGAGATTYGCCATTTTTATCTACCAAGTTCATATCAGTAACTATATAAGCTYATACAAAAAGAAATGAAAAAGAAAGGGTTCATTGTTTCCAAGCTATGTAAACTGGAAAGAGTGTATTTACAAGAATAAGTGCATGTAACAGCAGGCACGTTGTATCATACGTGACAGCCAAAGATGAACAGCARGAATGGAGCTCATTGGTCACTCAACTAAAACCTGTTTGCTCGTAAAGATTTTGATCCAAAAGGCTACTTACATAGTATGAGCCTAGTGCTGAGAATGAAAGTTGCTTCAATAAAGTTTCGTTATAGACTAGACAGATGCTTTGAACAARTTTAAGTATCTTGCTAAATCGACTCTAACAGTCTTCTTCAGTAAAAGAAATTGCTGCAAAAATAATGCATCAAAACTGACTTCCGGCTTAATTAGACAGCACACTTCCAGTGAAACAACTATACATTGAAATATGGAACACTAATTACTTTGGATTAAGCCTTGACATACAATGCTACCTAAAAGACAGTGTATTTTACATTTTTCTCCTGGAGAAGTCTTTACAGTGCAAAAACAAAGACATATTCATACACATGACAAGTGGTAAATAATATTTTCCATTTATAAAATGTAAATTTTCATTTACCGTGGGAACAACCAGCTTCCAAAGTAATCATTTCCACATAACAGTCTATTTCTTGAAAGCACATTCATTCTTACATTGCTCAAGAGTGCAATATTTTCACGACACAAAAGAGATATGAAGTTATAGTGGTTAAGGTGTATACACCTCTAATTTAAAGCAAATGCTGTTCAAAAAAACAGAAGTTTTTAATGACTTTCAATTAATAACTAAAGATTTTAGTTTTCCAAAAGCTAKAACCACTATTACTTCAACCTTTTTGTAAACCATAACCTCAGAGTGCAAATTCATAACCACTTTATGGTAGAATAAATCTACAAAAAAAMCCACTAATTATAAAAGAAAAATTCAAAGTGGGCAATTTTTTTGGAGAAAGCAGTAATTTAAGTCTTAGATGTTTATTTGAGGGTAATTAAATCACTAGTTTTGGAAAGAATRTTCTACCCCAGGCATGGATTTCCCATTACTTTTGAAAATAGGCACCGTCTTTTTTAAATAAAGCATTTATGACAGTTTGCTTCAAAGGAAGACATCAGAAGTATTTTATCTTTATTTGCTGTATATTGTTTCCATTTTGCTTCTAGTCAACTTTAGGGATAGGATTGCATACCAAAGGTCAAACCCGACAAATCCCGTCACTACCAAGGCAGCACTGATGGTTTCTTGAGCTGCAAGGACGCTTGCCTCACCAGCCTCTGCTGTTTTCTTGCTGCTTGGGCTTCCTCAATGGCACAACAAACCCTCTGTAAAGCAACACAGTAGGAAACAGAAATGGAAGAGAATTGAAGTGTGCAATCTGTAGTTTTCTTCTACAAAATGATACCGAAAATGCCCATTTGAACACATATTCATCAGCACATACGTATATGTTGGCTGGTTTGTCTGCCCTGAATCATATCATCGATTGATATGATGATATGATTGAATCTGCTCAGGTTTTTCAAGTGGTAACATTAACAAAGTCATTCCTGCCTACCTAGATAAACCTTAACCTCTCTATACCACTCACCAGGGCTAACTTGGACGGTCATTCTGATTTTACCCAATAATTTGCAGCACTTATTGAGAAGTAGTATGTGTCAAATGCTTATGAGCAACATCAATGTGAACATTTACAGAATTATAGTAGAAAATCATAATCTTGCCACACAAAAGAACACTTAACAGGCAAACCCAATGATCTACTGCCCTCTCATTATTTTAAGAATACAGAGTTTCCTTGAATCCTTGAGATAATCAAAAAGGTTACCATGCCCATTATTTGAATTGTATTTCCCTGGATTTTGATACATAAAGCATAAGACAATGCAACTTTCAACTTGAATCTACTATTGCATTTACTTTCTTGAATGCTTTACATTTATCTGTCTCATCCTTTTCCAGCTAAAAATATTTTTTAAATTAGAAAGTACAGTAACCAGTTGTCCATTCTGTACTTGGCTTCTGAGTTTCAACAATTGTAAAAACATAATAAAGAGAAAAAAAAAAAAAAGAATATACCTTAGCTGTATACTCATCCTGAAGCTGAATTGTCTTTACGCATTCACGACCCATACTGTCCTTCCTTTGGAACATCCCTTGATCCTATTGCACAGTGGAACAAAAACACAGTTTGGGTGACTGACATGACAAGAGTGCAGAATCTCACCTGGCTTGAAAGTCAGCCTCTAGTTAAGATTTCCATGGGGCCTCWATCCAACCCAATTCCTACTTCCAAAAACATCTGAATACTTTCTTTCTTATAATGCACTGCTAGTAGTTAGAACTCTTAAACGAATCAAGACGACATTTAGTTGTCTCAAATAAACTTTTAAATGAAAAAAAATACATGCTTCTCTTACCATAACAGTGATTTTTACAACATTTGCTTCATAAACGGGACGGTGTGTAAAGTCTTCAAATAAAAAATCCCACTCTGTTGTTAGATGACCTAGGATTTCCACTTCTTTTACATATATCACTCTCCTATTCAGATGACAGAAAGAAACAAGAGTCACATTGCATTCTCCCTTTACTCATAATCTTATCAGAAAACAAAACCAAGAAGAGAACTTAATTTGAAAAGGCATTTTCTATAGGAATCAAAAAAAGCCAGTTTTTTTGGAGACAAATACTTTATCAGCCTTATAAATGACATACGTTACAACATGGCATGCAAAGGAAAAGTTAATTAAAATATACCTCATGAAATGAAAGATGTTAATATTTCAAAAAAATACACACTGCAGCTAGAAGTATTTATCAATTAAACAGAATTATAATAATATGCATTGTCAAAAGACTGTTTTGACCAAAAAAAACCTATGAACAGCATTTCAGAGCTGTCATTTTACAGTTTCCATAAACAAAATACAACTGCAAAAATCAGGTAAACAATAACGGTCACACACAGAGAATAGTACATTTATTTTTCAGACTTATCTAAATGCCTRACTCCAAGCCAAATCCAGGAGCGGCTTCCAAAGGGCCTTCACATTTCTGTACCTGTTGGTAACAAGAAGATTTGCCCTCCTTCCTCTTGGAAGTGGACAGTGGAATCGATAGTTCTCTTGCTGCAGCTTTCTGACGTGCAGCTTCTAAAGTAGCAAATGAAAAAAAAAATATTTGAATCATAAAAAAACCCCACCAGAAGAGTGTTTTTAATTTAAAAGCCTTAAAAGTTACCTAGTTAATCAGGTTCTTTAAAAGCAGCCTCTCCCAGAGTTCTTACTCTTGAAGTAGAGTCACTGCAAAGCCAATTCTCCACTTGGCAGGTGGAACAGTGACACCGCAGTGCCATTAGGCTACCTGCCTGTTGGCTTGCACTTCTTTGGCTTATTTTGTTTTCTTTTTAAATAATTTGGTAATTCTCAAGCTATGTCCCCCTTGCAGACTTAATTAGAAGATGAAACTCCCGTGACAGTATCTTTAAGGATGACCCAGACGCATAGAAACAAGAAGCTTTCAAGTTCCAGATACTCAGCACACCTCCAAGTCAGGCTTCTGAAGTGCCAGACAGAAATGCTTATTAAAGATCCAAAACATAAAGGAAGATAAAAAAAATACAGATCTAATTGCTGTTCTCATTTCACAATTGTTTTAGATAACTAAAATTCAAGTGGCCAACCATGTGAATAAGCAAGTAAAAAACAGTTGCAATAAAAATTAGTAACATAAAAATAGCTAGGAAATTTCAAAAAACTTATTTGAATTATTCTTTTTTTTTCCTCCCTTCCAGAACTCTTATTCTGAACTTGTTATTTAACCTAGGCATAAGGTTTTCTGGGACATGTCACAAAAGCAACAGAATTTTGAAACCTTCTATCAGCTTCAAACATGAGCATGGCAAGTGTCTCACAGTTGACTTGGATTAAGCTCACAGTAATGATGGTTTAATAGGCAAGAGGATTCAGTCATATCAACATATCTGTAAGAAATGAGTATTCATCAAAATATCATGTGAAAAATAATAAAAAAGGACATTAATAATGCAGCACAAATGGGCATCCAACCTCAAACTGCAGAGGGAATCCACAAGAGCTACTTCATTCTATGATCTCTTAAGCAAGCAGACAACGTATTTCTGCTCCAGCAAATTTGTTGTCTGCTTTTACCTCTATGTTTTATGRGAGAATACATCTAGGTTACTAATTTGAAATGGTTTGCTAGTATTAAATATATAACTTTCCTGTAAAAAGGACAGCTAATATAAAGTAAAACAAAAAAAGATCAACATGCAATCTCAAATTTGATGCCTGAATCGTTTTCTAAGTAGCAGTAAAAAATAAAGGAAATTGAGAAATGCCRCCACTTAAGACTGGAATTCAAAGGTTGAAATCTGTATTCTGAACCCTTTTGTTGGATACAAGAAACTTTAAAACAAAAGTTTCTTTTGTTTTTTGACTCAAAGCRTGTTTCACTATTTGGATTCACAACTTGGGAGAAAATCTGGTTTCAGTGACACCTGAAATGCTTCTGATCATACCTTCAGATTTTAYATACAACATGTTACTACAAATAGAAATTCCGGTAAACGCTGTTCCTAAGAGATACAGGGCTGGATAAATACTCACTTAAAACAAGACCGACCAACCAAACCCACCACTGATTTATCTTATATATTAAAAAAATAGTAGTACTGGTCAAAAGCCTCTGCATAATCTGCATACATCTACAATTGAGACATGTCACCCTTAGAGCACTTTAGGAAAATTAGCTTATTCTTATTTTATATGGAAATAAGTAGTGTGAATTTAAACAGCATGATGCTGATTCAACCAAGAATAGAACCTGTAGTTTCTTGAAATGTAGCTTAGTATTCACGCTGCTACAYAACATTGTCTGCCCACCTTACTGCTCATGAAGAAGCATTCAGCATTCCTTAGCAGGACCCATGTTTTAAAACTAAATCCATAGATATTAGCATCACAAATCACATCATGTCAGACCCCAAAGACACACATATAGAAAACAAGGAGTTTYTATTTCCGGAGAATCAATTCTCCTAGACTTCCCTCACTTCTGCTTCATTTCCCCAACAACACATACAGTATATTTCTCTTTCAGACACCCAAGAGCTTCCTGCATGCTACACCATAAGTCTTATTGTGCATGAATTAGAGACATGGTTTGCAAGACACCAAATTTGACTTGAAAGTTTGGAAGTTTCCAAGCAAATCCCTTGGCAGTCCGTATGCCTTAGATGTAGCAGCCCCTTGGAAAACGCACTAAGAACTAGTTTACCTACGTRAACTAAACTGTCTGATGCGGTTGCTGACCTAGCTCTGCAGCAGGTCAGCAAGCTACTTCTGAGTAGGGTAAAAACAAAACAAGAAGTCTTGTAAGACTTGCACATAAAGTAGTCATAAGCAGAGGTCTAACATCTATATTATATATCTCTCAAATACAAGTGCTTCTATCAAACAAGAAGGAAGACTTCCTTCTTCCTGTGTGTGTGTATATATGATATATATATATATATATTTTTTTTTAAAGGATATGTGCATTAAAGTGAAGCATTAAAAACAACCAGTCTGTAGAAGAATGAGCTCAAAGGCAGAAGAGCACTACCAAACCCTTCCCCATGGAAGGCACACAAGAGCAGGCTGCTTGGAGAAGAAGGTACAACACAAGTTTTCCATCAGCTGAGGAAAGTTACCTTTAATTTGATACAAATGACAAGCAAAATTTGTGAAGAGGCCTGAGCAGAGGCATTATTACAGCTGGAGCAGCAGGCTAGAGACAAAGCTTTCTCAGAGTCATTTGATTAATTCATCAATTTATTCACCAATTTAATGAAATATGACTCAGGGCAGGAATCAAGCTTGATATAGAACCATATAAAAAAACTCTAAAATTATGTGATGGAGGCAGAAAGGTATCTGAAAATAACTTAAACAGCAAAGAGTAATTCCTGAGCCAGTATTTGTATGGCAGGCAGCAAGTATCACCAAGTCAAGAATGCAGGCAAATTCAGGAAATAATCCAGACCATTTTGCATGCTGCAACGATTCATTTCTAAACAATGAGAAATTGTTCTCTAGCTACTTTTAGAAGGGCAATGATACAGTGAGYTAAAAAATGATCGGCAGGGGTGATTCTGGTAAAGAATGGCACTTGTCATGGTACATCAAATCTGGATCCAAAATTCAACACAACCAGCGCTTAAGAACTGAGCTGTTCATGGAACAAACACTGAATTATTGTGGAATAAATTTGTAAAGGCAGATGAACTGACCTTACATCTAATCTGCCCTGTTAAAATATCCTAATTTTTCTATAGACACTGTCCACCTTGCTTACAAATTATATTAGAAAACAAAACTTSCCTGTAACACTAAACCCCAGCATAAAACCAGAACGAGAGTTACTTTTCACAAGAGTGAAAATTATCAGACTACAGAAAGGAAAAAAAMCACTATATTTCAAAAACTACAAATAGGATTCTTTTTTGGTTAATATTCAACTCTGATCTAACACAAGTTAAGTCTATGAAAAATATAATTAGATGTGCAAAAGCTGCACAACGTCCCATTTCCAGTGTTATTTGTGCTACCTATTCTCTTCTGACAGATGGAAGAAATACAATGTGGAAGCACAACGTTACTGAAAGATATTGCAACCCAAATTCTCACCACATTAATAGTTGTCTTTTAACTAACAATACAATTACTTCATTTTACTTAAATTAAAAATATGAGGAGATGGTTAAAAATATAAGATGAAAAGCAAAGCTGACTGTAGGCTGTTATGGTCAAGAACCAACTGAGAGATCTCTCTGCTCAAAATTTATTTATTATGATAAGCAAATGATTTGCTCCCAGTTAAACTCAGTTTGGTTTATACGGTGTTTAAGACAAGTGAGATTTATAGCTTCACTTACGTAAAAAAAAAAAAACAAAAAAACTACCTACTATATATGTAAAATATATATATACCCATATATAAATATGGATCTATTTTTAAAGCAATGCCATAAACCTCACTTTTAATACCATAAACATAATATGTATGTTAGTAGCTACAAGCTTCTTTTAAATATGTGGAATCAAAGAACTCAAGAAAAATAAATGAAAAGCACCCTGTGTCTCATCTTCCTCTTTCATCTAACTTGACCTTAGATGGTTATTCAAGTTTTTCTTTTTTCCTTCTATTCCTTTTTTTTTTTTTTTTAATCTTCTCCTTAGTCTAGATAATATGAGATTTTTTTTGTTTAACTATTACATAGAAAAGACATGAGTAATTCTGGGGGGTAGATGAGAGGATGTTAAATTGAGTGTCYTTAATCTAAATGCTTAAAGGCAGATAAAAAACCACAGAGAAAATCAAGAAGAAATAAGGAAAATGTTTACTCCATTACTCCAGTTCTTGCTGCGTATGCCAGGAAAAAAAGAGAAAGAAAAATATTAGAAATAGACTGAAAAATAAAGATTTAAACTGACATCTAGAACAACGTAGCAAATAGGCTTAAGTTTTAAAATAGTAATATTATAGTAATATTATTTTTCATATTAGTAGTTTCGATTCTACTTCTTATATTACTRTATCACTAATAGTAAAATGATTTCCAATATGTACTAATTATTTCACATTTTTTAGCAACCAAGTCAATAGTTTTAAGAATACAAAAAACTTGAACTATAATTTAACTGGATTCCAACCATCTGGAACATGAAGCAACCATTATTCATCCTCCATGCTCCAGCCACATCCAGATGTGGAAACAGGCTAGATGACCATACAACACCTGTAGCTATGACATATTAACAGTAAAAACAACAGCAGAAGGAAAACCAAAAAGGCGGCGTCTGAAGAGCTCATGCAGATTTTGCAACTCCTGACACCACCAAAAWAAGCACAGGAGTTTCAGTAACTGCACTGCATACCAAATAATTAACGCTGTATTCATCCCATTATTGAATTGTTTAGTTTGTGAGCCTGCTTTAGTTCTGTTTCTAAGCAAAATATTAGAACTGAGTGTCAAAGTGTTCCCACATAACCACGATGAAATAAACTTTCCCAATCAGAAGACGAGCAGCTAATGATCCTAATGTGCAGAAGACCTTTCAAGAGTACTGCTGCAGTTTCTCCAGTATATCGTTCACTGCTAACACTATGTGTTGTTTGCTATAGAGACTTGTCTAACGAAACCGTCTCTCAAATTTTAGCTACAGATATCATCAACGATAGATCCAAGCAGCTTCTTTTTCTAATACAATCCTTTATAGAGGACAGAGAAATTGAACTACTTCTATTTCCAGAAATTGAACTATTTCCAAGATCATACCTCAAATAAATCATAACCCTCAGCTTCTGCTCTGTTGTAGGGCCGGATGATGCCATCCTCGTGGATAAGGCGTGGAGGACGGAGATTAGATACTTCTTCAGTTGATTCTGCCACCCTGCCACAGACCATCAAAACAGGATAGCAAATTCATTCATTTCAAGTGTCATAATCATATTGCCTAGTGTTTCCTCCAATTATTTTTCCAAGCACTACTTTTTCTAACAGTACTTTCCCATGCTGTGCTTAAAGCATGCGAGGCATGTGCAATAACTGAATTTCCAAAAGACAACATTTCATCCTAAAATTCCCATGGTCTGTTTTCTGCAATAGATTTAAGTGACATTTAGATGTTTGCATTCAGGAGTACACAAACCTATTTCAGAAGCAAAATTTGCAATTAGCTATTGTTTTATTCAGATTTTTCATCTGAACTTTGTTAGCTTGAGGAGTAGAGAATAAAAGGATACAACTGGGTAGCTGTTGCCTATTTGACCATGATGCTGCAAGACATGTTTTGAAGCAACAATTTTTAGATTTATATGATATTCATGACATATTTCTACTAGAAATACCTCCTAATATTGTACATTATACCGCATATTGCAATTAAGGCAAATAGTTCTGTGTCACTACCAGATTTCCTCACCACCTCGTGCCCAGCATCTGGAGAACACAGCCATCTGCCTCGTGCAGACCTGTCCCCGGACTCACTACCTTTGGATCCCTTGGAAGGTGCTGCTTGCCATGTCCACTATGCCTCCTGTTGGGCGGGCGACCACTCCTACAAGCCCCTTTCCAATTCCTTTGAAGAATCCAGCTGCACCTTCTTTTTTAGCACCTTTTAAGGGAGAAAGAAAAAAGACAGATTTTGAGATTGTTTTAATAACCAGACTGTGTAGCTATGGAATAAAACCATTACTGGGCCAACCTGAATTTGGACTGTTCTGTATTGGAAACAGCCTCAAAGAAAAGGTTCCACGCATGCCTTTTCCAAAAAAAGTTCTCTGTAAGAGGTCAAATATGCCTTCCTTGTCTCTTCAGTACTACTTCTGTTCACTTTTATTTTGCTTATTTTTATTTAATTTACTTATTTTACTATCTTTATTCTAGCTTTAAACAATAAACACGGTACTACAGCAAGCTCAACAAAATATTCAGTGATGACCATTACTTATTTAGATGAAATAAATAGCTATAAAAATATTCTAAGTGCCTTACTGCTTAAGATGGCATTTCAATTAAAAATAAACAAGCTTGTGTTTCAGTACTTGCATCAAAACTTATTCAATTTAAGTATCTGGACTGTAAAATACTGAAAAACTGTTTAAGCAAATGTACTTTGTACTTACCTTCTACAGGTTTAGTGATTATGCCAGTCACACCTCCAACAACACCCTGGGAAAAAAGGAACAGAATTAAATTCTTACTTAGAAAGAGGAATACTGTAGTATACTGAGGAAATGAGTGTTTCCCATCCTCCCTTTTAAAATGTTTAGTCAGTTTAGTATCGGAAATAATGGGCTATATGGGCTAGTGTGTGTGTGTGTGTGTGTGTGTGTGTGTTTAAATTCTTAAGGATATGCTAACTAAAAGAAAGGAGAAAAGAAAGCAGCAAAATGAATAGATGGATGAGCATTTATTCTTGCAACAAAGACTAACACATCTTTGAAGAGTAGTCTTTGTAATAATTAAGAAGAAAGCTACCATTTCATGTCCACTACTAACAGAAAGCTCTCCATACCACCCAAACTCCCTGTCATGAGTGACTGACATGAAATACTCAAAGATTAACAGCAAATAATTCTGTGACAGACTTCAAATTGAAGCAGTTTAACTGTTCTAAAGTAGAATAATAAAAATCCACAGAGGCAATTTTTGAATTTGTTAGCAAAAAGGATCAAAAGAAGTAGCTCAGTACTTCCTAATTTAAAATTACTTAGCAATTACTAGCTTAGAAATTACTTAGCTGACTTTTTATTTTGAAAATTACTTAGCTGACTTTTTATTTTGAAGGGCAAGTGATACAAGTTGTTAAGATACCTAATCTGCATTCAGGTAACACAGATTATCAGCAACTGTTTGCATCAAGACTGTCTCATTCTAAAGAGTCTGGCTAGAATTAGACATGATCTTTCATTGACCAGAAATGATTCTTAACTTCAGATATCAAAGAGAGGGCTTATAGAAACCCATTTCAGAAAAAAATCTTGAACCTGATGCAGTACTTAGAAGGATCTAATTTTAAAAAAATACACTAAAAAAAATTAAATCAAGAAAAAAAATGTGGGTTTGTAAGACCTCTCTACAGAGTAGAGTTTACTATGATTTTCATAAATGCATTATGTGTTAGTATAGCACACTTCCAGTTTGAAGAACTTAAAGTTTATACCCGTAACAAGCCTTTTCCTCCCTTGGCCAGACTGTCACCGAAATCTTTAGGCTGGCGACCCATTTCCTCTCTCCGTTTCTGCTGATATTCTTTGTCCATAGTGATAGCAGCCAAACCTTTTCCAACAGACCCAGTGATTCTAGACACCACCCCTGCTGCACCACCTGATGCAACAAAGCAGAAGTTACTGGTCATCCACAATTTAATAGCCAACAGCACACAATAAACCCCAAGTTTCTCTTGACAATAAATTCTGCTATTTATCTACACAGACTACTGTCTTTTCTATTAAAAAACTCCAGAATCAGTCCTGAGATCTAGCAATACAGCTAAATAAAACCTACCCTTATATTGTTCTATGTATACTCCTCAATATAACATTCTAGGGCCATTACAATTCCTTTACTTATTCATCCTCAGCAGGCTCCAAATGAAACATCCGGTGTTTTAAAACTTGTTTCGTCACCTTACAGAATAGAGATGTAGTCTCCCAGACRAGCTCAGTGTCAATGATGTGTAACGTGTACTGGCAATACCAGCTGACACATTTAAATGCTTGCCAAAAAAATAACCATGTAGATATTACTAGTACGTTCCTCTTCAAAATAAGAAAGCTCTACAAACATCATCTATGAGTAAATGTAATTTACCTCAAGTGCAGCACTACAGTACATACCCACTGTGTGTCCAAGGAGACTTTTAACACCGATTACCAAGCCTTCAGCAAATTCTTCAGGTCCTTGAACGGCTCCCTGAAAGTGATCAGTATACGTCTAAGCAACCTGAACCACTAGCACGTCCTTTACACTGGCAAAAGTTCATTTACTTAAATATGATTTTTTTTTAACTAACAAAATATTACAGCTTTCTGAATTGTTCAAGGTATAAATTAAAGTGACAACAAAATTAGAACTCCACATGAATATTCAACCAGCCTACCACAAATACACAGCTGAAGGTTCACAGAAGTCATACCTGGACAGGCTCATAGAAGAAAGCTTCTACTCCCTCAGACAAGCCTCTAATTAAGCCAAATGGATTTCCAAGAACATCTAACCCAAGTACAAGAACATACATCTGCTTCAGGAGCTAGGTAAAAAAGAAAAAAGTACAGTGCTATTACCTACTGTTACACATATTTCCTTTTTAATTAAATTGTAAATGTAAATTCTGAGTAGTTCCCAATTAAGATGTTTGGCTACTCGAATATTTCTGCTGTATTGTGAAGTGCATTAGACAAAAGATGAAAGGATATGTATGAATATCCTTTCTAGTGAATATCCACTAGAATACTGTCGTGAAGAAGCACATAAACAGAAAGAAACAATTACTTCAACTCAATTGCAGGAGAACTATGTATTCATATTTCAATATAGAGTCACAAGATTCATACTTCAATACCATGAACATAGAGAAAAAAAGTAATAGCTTTTAGTGTTATTTCCCTTTCATTCCCTATTTTCCACATTCCAGAAGATATTTACTCAGAAATTCATGCGGAGGCTTGACCAAATGAACTTACTTGTTCGCCATAATGTACAACAACTCTCTTCATCAGCTGGTCTCTCTTGTAGAACTGATACTTAATTTCAAAGAAAGCAAGTCTGAAAGACAATTAATCAAGGCTTCATAATAAATACACTTCCTCTTTTCAAGTAGGTCTCATCTCCTTGAATGACCCTGAAACCCTATTTTCTTGGAAAATAGGCAGAAAACACCTCCTCCCTCCATCCCTCAAAAGCTCTATCACTTTATATTAGTGTAAGACTGCAAAGTTCTACAAAGACACAGTTATTTAGAGTGTAGTAGCTTTATTTTAAATATTTCTTAAACTATCTATATCAGCTTACTTGAAAATAAGGTCATCCACATCTGTCAGAGTAGCTCCAATACTTTTCAACAGCAAATTCAGAGAATGGATAGCTATCATTTCTTCACCCTTATCTGATGCTTCGTCACCAGAAGCCAAAGATAGACTTAAATGCAACTAATAAAACAGAAATGTTTAAAAAGACAGGTTATGAGCTTGAAGGAACTGTACAATTTGAACAAGCACACTTTGAATTCATTGTACTCTTACTTTGGTAACGTTTATTTATATTCCACCCAAGTTCCAATTTACTCTAAAACATTTGAATTCAGCTCTGACTCTATGTGTTTACTTCTATCTGGACCATGACAGAAATAGCATTAAATTAGTGGAGTTTAATTGCAAGTTATAGTTAATTTGTAAGTTCTGATTTAATTGACTAGCATTGTACATATTTCTGCAACTGATAACATACTTTCTACCTGTTCATCATTCACACTACAGAACAGAAATGAACGTTAGTATTGCAAGATATGATTTTTTTTTTTCAACAAATGCACTTACTTTTTTTTACAGGAGGCAGTAAGGATTTTCTTTGCTCACTACCAGAACCAATATTCTGCCTTTCAACTACCTTAAAAAACGGCATAGAACTGAACCTGTAGAATTACAGGTTTCTCAAGATTGTTTGTTTGTTTTTCAATAGGCCACGTAGATCTTTTTGAGTCTTCCCAATATCCAGTGTTTTGTTGTGTTTGTGAATTAAAGAAAAAATAGATGGAAAAAAGTCCTTTTCCATACTTAAAAAGCAATATGCTAGACATGTCAAATATGTAAGATGGACTAAATATTCTAAATGTTTCTTCTACAGCTATGATCATACCAGCTAGAGTTTAGGGATCAAAATAGTGTCTTGTTCAGACAGTGCTTTCCATGCCTTCATTTTCTTATAAATTCCTAAGCAGCATGCCTAATATAAATTCCTCATAATCATATGAAGAAAAAATATGACTAGTTTTCAAGTTTTCACTAATAGAACAGAAATTAAAGTCAGTACTTTTTTTTTTTTTTTTTTAAGGAATGCTGTAGTTAAAGCATCTGTTTCGTGAGTATATGACTCTTTTGTATGTTCACAAAACATACTGAGACGTGGAAATGGATTCCAATTCTGCAATATGGAAATGGAAATAAGTCGGTTTTGTTCTTGTAAATTCTTAGTCAGTTCGGACTAGGGGATTAGGTAAAGTATTCTGTTCATTCAGAGTAGTGTACAGTGTACTGATTATCATCTTGCCTCACTCCAAGAGATATAAATGGTTCAAGAGAAATGAAAACATGTTTATGACAGTTATTTTCATATATTACCTGGGTATTTAAGTCTGGACTTCTTTTTCATCTAGCTTTTCTCATTATTATACCCCTTGAATCCTCCTTTTAAAAGCCTCTTTGTATTTTATGCACACTAGTTGTACCTGGCCAGCTAAGAAACTTGTTCATTTAACTCCCAATTCTAGAGAACACAGAAAACTCCCCCAGGAAGACAACATGAAGCACTTAAAAAGCAAAAGATCGATCTAAAAGAGTATTTACTGCAATTCACGGTAGCATAATAGTATTTAACAGTAATATAGCATATATATATATAGCCACTACAAGCATTTAAGCTATCAGAGATTCCAAGTGTTTTTATTAACACAAAGCTTCTCTATCACATACCTTAATCGGAGAAATGTGAAAATGCTCAAAGAAACTGAGTGTTGACAAGTCTGTTAAGGAGGATTCCATGAGCTCAGTGTTAAGTGCATCTACATCCCGCTGAATTAATTTAGACTGGTTTTACACACAAAAGGAAAAACAGAGAGAGGCAGGGGAAGAAAGGAGAAGAGAGAAGAGAAAAAAAATTAGTCGATAACCATGAAGTTCAGTCTCTTCTCTGACTGCAAAAAGCAAAGGGGCCCATGCATACCATAGACTAATGATCCTTAGTTAAAAGAACAGGCATTAGGCCAGTCTACAAAAGCAAACCTTATTTTCTTCACCATGTTTAAGACCTTACAGCACATATAACCAAACTGAACATTGAAAGAGTAGATGAGGTCACACTCGCATCTCAACTCAACAATCTGAGATTACTAAGGCAACCAGTGTTTATAAACAATCCTCACCTTTTGCTCCAAATTATTTTGGCACGTCCCTTTAATCATACACAATACTCACACATTTAAAGTGAAATATTTCAAACAATACATCAATATTACCATAAAGGACCTATATTCTGGCATAAATCTGTTTCTCCGATATATACCCTTTGCCTTTCAGCTTCTGGATCTGTAGATGGAGTGAAGAGTTCACTGAGTGCTCCTARAAATCCTTGATCAATTTTCAGGGCCATTTCCTGGATAAGAACCATGAAGTACCTAATAACATAAAAAAAAACAGTTCATACATGCACACATTTAACTTAAAGTGCAAAATCATTTGTGTTCAAAGTGCTGTGGTGCAATATGACATTAAAGACTTGTGATTTATTGTGTCCACTAGCTATTTACAGTTAGGGGGCCTAGCAAACACGTGAAGTTAAATACTTCACTGTGGATTTGTATCTTACGTCTCCCTGATAGTTTACCTAAAAAAATATTAACCATCACCAAACACCTCCTACCTTCACAGACTATGATTGCACGGGCTCTATGGATAACTTCATCTAAAGAGCATGTGTGCTCATCCTAGTCGACTTCTCTCCCCAAGTTTATTTTATTGAAATAACTTCATTTTATTGAAATTCACTGTCCTTAGATATTATACCTATAACACTTAGGTACAAATAGCTGCACTACAAGTCTTAAGTAAAAAATATTCTGTCTAATTTTATAGCATAAGAACTCAGCTGAAGACACAGGCATATTAAGAACACACAGTTCACAGTAAAACACGCTCTTGTTGGCTGCTTTAGAGACTATAAGCACTGCCTGTTGTTAGGAGCTCTGAATGTACCCAACCCTGTACAGCAAACAGGCAAGCACGCAACTCTGACACAGAACAGGTATCATCTGACAGCTGGAAAACCTCCATAGCAGTGCCTTTATCTGGTCAATCTTTAATTTCTCAAAAAACAATTCCTCTTAAAGTGATGTTTTTCCACTGAAGGTGTTTAAAACTCAATCCAAACAACTGATTTCAAGAGTAACTAGACAGGAAAATATGGCTTTTCAAGTAAGGCTCACTTTTAAGAAAAGGTTAAATGTCTAAAATTATTTTACAACACAATTTTCAACTCACTTGAACTGCAGTACTTTGCTGTATTCGTTGAATCTAGTGATGATGCTGATGTCAATGAAGGGTTTTGGCTCTAATTTAAAACAAACAAACAAAAAAACACTATATTTTGTCACATTACTACTTCAAATTTTAATACATTTGTTACTATTAAAAGCTTTCACTTTACCTGAATCCAAAGCAATTGACTTGGGAGGAGCTACAGGGTGAAACACAACAGGAAACATTGATCCTGGTAACTGATTATCCACCTAGAAAAGCATCACATAATAGAGCAATATTTTAACAACACAGTAATTAAAAACCAGTTCTTTACAGTTATTTCTTCAGATTTCCAGTACTGTACCAAGACCAAACTTCTAAGAATAACTACTTCGCAGAATACCTTTCATTTTAATCTGCTAGGCAGTTCTTATATTAAAGACATCTGTATCTGTAGACACTCTAACTAGATTTAGTTGCTCACACACTTCCATATACGAGTGCTCTACTTGACATAACTGACCATGGAGGGGATTTTCTTCCATGCTACTTGTAAAATCCCAGCTGGCAGCTCTGCAGTATTTTTCTCACCCATGGGCATCCACAGCACTTCTGCTACCCCAACAGAGGGAGAAGCGTCACCTCCACTGCATTTAGGAACACCTCTTCATAGACATAATGAACAACTCGGAAGTGTCATTTTAGTTTACAGACCACAATAGAAATGCAGGAACTACCTGGAGCCAATACAACTGAGCCCGTAAGCTTCTCTGATGAGGTGATTGTTTGAATTCCACCTGAATTCCTGACAGGAAATTACGTCGGATGTTGCATCTGACAGGCAAACGCATTTCCATCGGTGTCTTACCAAAATTCACCTGGAAACATAGCAAAGAAGAGCTGATGTATAGTTTAATGCAGTTCTGAGGAAAAATAATAAAACGTTACATTACTAGAAAACAGAACAGTAAACACAATTTCATGATCACATAGCTACTGAATTACTCATGCCGTTTTATTTGCATAGAAAGAGAAAATATATTACAAAAGCAAACAAAAAAACACCCACAAGGTGGCCTGATGAGCACGTCATGCAATTTCACTTGTTTTAGTGGAGAGCTTGTGTCTTCTTAGTAACAATCTCTTAGTAAATTATACAGACGTAAATGAACATGTCTTCATGCGGCCAACTTTTTTACCATGACCTTGAAATGTGTTTGAGGTAGGAGAAGCAGAAAAAAAAAGCCAAAAGTATTCTGAGTCAAAGCTAATTATTTACAACTATATGTTCCTGTCACCATGGACTTCAAATGCAAAATGACATGTACAAATCCTAAGTGTTTACAGAGATAATGGTATATATTTTTTTTCATTAAAGTATTATTTAGAAAACAAGGAGATTATGATACTAGAAAATAGTTATTTTACTGAGGTATTTCAATACCCTCATTAACTTGTACTTGGAATACCGGTACATACCAGTAATGATTGAAAGAGCTCAGACAAGTGAATTCATTTCAAGATTCTTACAATGGGAAAAAAAGTCTGTAGCACTGCAAGCCATAGGAATTACTCATAAGAAACTCCAAATGAGATTTCAGCACAGAAGCAACTCACAACTACAATAGAAGTTTGTAACTGACATACAGATTCTAAGTAAACTTTTCTACTACACAGATGTTAAGTCTTCCCAAGAAAACTGTTTAATAATAAAAAAGTCTCTTTGGAAGGTACCTCAATACCAAAATTCCATATTCATTTAAATACTGAAACTCAACACATACCTCAGTGTTGTTGTCTAGCTTAYACCAGCCTGCTTCACTTTTACACAGATACTTTTGATAGGCTTTTTCCAAAAGGTCTATTTGTTTTTGACTAAATGGTTTCCACTTCTGTCTGGGTTTCATTTCCCAAACAACACCAGAACTGCAAGACATAACCAGGTCCAAGATTCAAACAAACAGAAGAAATCAAAACACTTATAGTGCCTTCAACATACCAACTACACAAAAAAAAAAATCAGATCCTCATTTTGCAGACATGAAAAAAACAGTATTACTTAATTCTTTGTAAAAGGTAGGAAGAGATAATTAATTCTATGCACATTGTAGAAAAGGAACAAATTTAATCTTACTTAAAAGATTTCAGTTCTGCTAGCATCACTTAATGCAAAAATTATAATATGCCAACAACTTTAGGTTATCCAAAGGAATATTTAGGTTTACATGTGCATACCTAGTAATTCCTATGTAAGAGATTTCTTTTTTGTTTTCATTGTTAACAAGAGAAAGGCCAAGACTATGTATTGACAAGTTGATTTCTTGATCAGGTTGCTCCAGCTCCTCTGCCTGCCGTGCTTTGGAAACCAATGCGACATCATCAGTGAAAAGCAGCACTCGCTGGCGCCCGTCCAGGAAGGACACCCAGTGTATCTGAGTATTTGCATTGTAAGCAAACTGGCCACAGTCATCCTGCATTGAAAAAAACACACATATACAGGTGTATTACACGCATAGGTCCATGATGCTGCTGTGAATAAATAAACAAACAACTTCACTGGCACATATACAAGCCAGAAATCACATTATGTTTTTTACTAGTTTATGGCGCTATATTGATTTGGTGGCATTTTGTAGCCCAAATACTGGAATCAACTTCCAATTGTTGGGGGTGGCTTTGGGAGGAGGGGTAGAGAGAGAAGGAGGCCTTTAAGATTAGGTATTCCAGCAATACTTGTGGATGAGAGCACTGGAGACAACTAGGAAACAACCATCTCAACTGCAAAATATAAGACTTTCAACCTTGGCTGGCGTGGGAAGAAGTCATTAAATTATAAAACACTAACAATTGTTAAACACAAGAAATTCCTATTTGTTAATAAAATTGAGAGACATGACTGAGATTTTATAAATTATTTTTTCAAAATCCCCAAGTTGTCATGAGTGTAACGGTACATGGAGAAAACAGCTTCCTCGGTGAAATATTGACATTTTAAGATGTTTCAAGTTTGCATTGCAACTGCAGTCACAACAGTTAGGATTTGAATCTGGCTTCAGGGAGATGCTACAGCCAAATGCAGCATTACCTAGTGAATATTTTGCTCATTTTTGAAGTATATATCACTTTGATATTGCTATAGATTTTGCACTCTGTCATGCTTCCTTTGTATACAAAGAAATCATAGTGAAAACACTGAATGGAGATTAGGCCTAATCCTCCAATTATATTCATCTAAAAATTACAATCTTTCAGTTTCAAAGAAGACTCAAAAATCTCCCGCAACACAAATGACCAAAGAAACTCTGTCCCAGATCATTTTAGTCTTGTTACAACCCTAAACTGGTTCAGAACTTATTTATTAAAACGTACCTTAAGTAGATCATGTTCACCAGAGTTTTGGGAGTACATCCACGTCAACTTCTTTGCTTGGGTTGGCTCTGTCCACGCAAACAGGCACACCTGCTTTGGTTTCAACTCCATTTCCTCTTGTAATCCACTGCAGGTTAACAGGAGAAATTAAATGACAGCTTTCCATGGCTTAAGACCATGTTCTTTAATGCTCTTAATGTTCAGTGGTGCAAACCAGCTGAGCTATATCCCCATCTCCTGCGTTGAGGCACGGACAGCCTAAGCCATGGGTTGCTAGGGGCCAATACCTACTCTACACTACCTCCTCGCAGTTTTAAGACTGCTTAAAAGCAGGACTATAATACATCACTGAAAAAGCATGATAAAGAGAAAGAGGCTTCTCTTTAAAACACTACTTCCTTCACAACAGATAACTGTTAATAATAATAATAATAAAAACCTATGTTATTTCACATACCTCTGTTTATATCTGAGAGAGTCCAAGGAAGTGTGGTTAACAATAAGAGCTGGAGCAGCTCCCTCATGGTAATCACAGAAGCTTATGAGAGTCGAGTGTTCAGATACATTCACATCTACCAGTAAGCCCCCATTCTGTTGGGGAGAGAGAGTTCTATGTTTGTCCTCTGCACAAATTCAGACTAGGAAAGACTAAGCCATTATTTTCAGAGCAGTCTAACAAATGAAAGGAGGAAACATGCCACATGAGCATGCACAATTTTTTAAAATAATTTCAAACAAAGTAGTCACTAGCCTAAGATATTAATAAAATTCACAAACTATATGTATATTTAATTGAATAAATATACTTAAAGCAAAACTGCTCTAAAACACCAAGTTTTAATCCTATTTTAGGGATACAAAGCTAAAATAAAGCATAAAAAGAGACCATGCAAAGCCAGTCTCACCAATTCTTCCAGTTTCAGCAGAGTACCATTGTCCTGGGTTTTAAATGGAAATGGTTTGGACGGAATTTTGTAACTCACTACTCTTACACACAGCTCACCAGATGAATTCTCAGGCCAAAATGGAAGACACTGGAAAACAGGAAGTATGAAGGACTTTAATAGTTCAGATATGTTCAATTTACTACGCCAGTGGTAAGATAAACAGAATCTTGAGTGATTAAAAGCTCTTACCCCAATATCTACTGATAATAAATATCGATCAGATGTTTAAGTTATTCTAACTCAAGGACTTGATTCAGTTACCACTGCAGCCTGTGCAGTTCAAGTTGCCCTGGGATACACAAAGCAACCACGTGAGGCCCCCAGGAACGAGCGAGTGTCTACAGAACTTCTTTTGCTGAGTGACAGCTTGAGACCAGCTATTTGTCTCTGACAGCAACCAAAGGAATAAAACTGAAACGTTACCTCTGAACTTGAGATATAATTCCATTTATTGGTTGGAAAAGAGCCACCAGGACCAATTTCACCAACTTCTAGCTCCAGGGAAGATTTGTTCGCTATTGTGTAGAATGGAGTGAACGTAACTATCCTGGTCAGGTTGAAACTACTTATTTTGATGCTAACTCCAATCTGTTGAAAAAGGACAGTGTGATCAAAGAGGACAAATCTAACAGGATAGGTAAGCTTAAGAGAAAAAGCCAGAGAAAATTCAACTGTATCTTTTCTTTCCCACTACGTCCCCCTCTCTTTTTAGGATAAATCTAACCAGAACCTCTCTAAAATAAACTGTTGCAGCAACAGTAGGCCATTACATCAGAGATTGATAAAGAGTATATGGAATTAAAATTCCCCACGTATGCATATACTATTGCCAAATGTGTTTTTATTCTGCTTAGTCATGTACACCTAGTCTTAGAGAAGATTGCTGCATGAGGGTCAAAACACACGTGAACAACTACGAACTACCCGTACTACCCAAGTTCACTACTGTATTTTTGAACAACCTAATAATGGATAATTAATTATTAAGTAAACACACATTTACAAATTATATTGAAGCTGTCCTGTTGGTCACACCCTTATCAGGTGAAACTGAGTAACTGTGGTATAATAGTAATACTACTCTCACCATTAAATATTTGATTAAGTGCAAGACAGTCACAGCTGCAATTACTCAAGCTAAATATCTCAAGAAAACACAAAGTGCTACAGAAGACACATCTTACCAGATAGTCCATGTTATTAGCTGGACATTTGACACATCCATAGCTCCCTACAGTATCAAGGGAAAAGCTATTCGACCAAGTGCTCGTGGAAATACACAACTGGATCTATAAACAACAACAACAAAGATCAACAATTCAAATTTTTGAATAAATTAATTTAAATTTTACCGTTCATATATTAAAGGGCACAATTTTTAACACACATTTAGCAGTGTTAGGACAACACTTAAACGGTTTCACTATACTCACTATGGGTTATTGTCTCAGCTTGAAATCTAAGAAATATGATATCACAAGACAATGCAAGCAGGCATGACAACAATAATGACAACAATAATGACAACAATAATGACAACAATAA